GTATGTGGTATGAGTGTCTCTCTGTGTGGCATGTGTAGATGTGTGTTCTGTGTGTGCTCTGTATGTGGTATGTGTGTCTATGTGTGGTCTGTATGCCTCTGTGTGGTATGTGTGTCTTTGTGTGTGTCTGTATGTGGTATGAGTGTCTCTCTGCGTGGCATGTGTAGATGTGTGTTCTGTGTGTGCTCTGTATGTGGTATGTGTGTGCTCTGTGTGTCCTTTGGGCCCAGGGAAAACTGATGACAAGACTCAGGGAGCACTCAGGGAGCACTCAGGGCCGCCAAACCCACAGATGCTGAAAGGGGTCAAGGACCTTCCCTCAGTGACGATGGGGAGAGAAAGCCACCCCTGAATTCAGACTTCTTGTCCCCTAAATGGTAGAGAATGCACATTTCTGCTTTCCACAGTCACCCACATGGAGTATTTCTGGGCTAGCAAAACTAAAGGACTAAGTCAGAGATGATTGGGCATCAAGCCCTAGATGGGTCTCTTGCATTCTTTCTTTCTAAAGCCAACTGGAATCCCAGATGCCTGCATCCCCCGCTCCCCTGGCCTCACACACTTATTTGAAACAGTCTTGCAGTCCTCCATGGGTGAGAACTGCCTGTTTCCATCTGCCAGGGCCCTAAGGGGCAGGTGCTGCCACATAGGAGACGCACGAGAAATGAAGCACAGGGCGGACCCCTCACTCACCTTCAGGGCCGCATTGGGTGGGGTCGCTGATGCACGAGTTCTTGTAGCTTCCGTAGTAGAGGAGCGTGACCCTCTTCTCCTCTTTGAGATAAATGCCTTTGTTGACCTTCCCTTCTACGATATCTGAGTGAGAAAAACCGCAGCACTGCAGATTCATCAAGTCACGAGATCCAACACTTAAAGGCATGCATCAGATGGACAGACACTTTATGTATGGTATATATAGGTCTCTATGCTTGCAATGAGATCTCTACAGCTTTCCACACTACACTACATTTGTATAGGGTTTACGTAGCAATATAACGCCTTGATAATATGGCCCGCTGCTCTATTCATCACACGCAACAAGCTACAGCAGGAGGCTTACAAAAGTGTGTGGGAAAATGTAGTGGAAAGATAATGGAAGCTCCCACGAACTTTTTGAAGCCCCCTTCCATGGATTTTACTTTTATCCAAATAGCGCACATATAAAACATCTTTTGCCAGTTGTGCCGTCCCCACCCCGTAGGGACACCTGTAAGCACATTATGCTAGATTCTTTGTTATAGCAAGATGTTCAAGAATTAGTATAACATGCCTACAGACATGGGGGGAGGGGGCACAGCTGTCAAAAACCCAAGCTATTTGCATAAAAACACAGTAATCATATCATAACAATCCTCTTCACCAATAATTGAGTTACTGAGGTGTACACAGTCTGCTCTATGGCTCTAAGCTTTCATTCAACCAGCATGAGCTTGTTTATGAGCTTGTTTGTTTCCATCATTCTCGCGTTCGACTTTTTGGGTAAAGCAGTTAGGTACAAGTTTCAACATAAGACTACAGCCTAGTTCTCACTCCTTTTGCATTCTAACTGGGAGCTCCTGGTCCCAACACGGGAGCCTACAGTTTCAAAGAACCCATTCAGACTACAGGAAGGAAACGTGGAGTCAGGTTTTGCCTGGCTACAAAAGTTGGATCCCAGTCCACCCCCGAGTTCTGCCCAGTTCCCAGAACTGATGCGTCTGATGGTGTGGGTGTGAGGTAAATGGTTTACAGAGCTGAGATACGAAGCTTATGCAACGCAACAGTGGGGCAGTGTTTGTGGGGCAGCCCCGGTCAGAGTCTCCTGGACACCTCACCCAGTTATGGGGTGGGGGCCAGAACACCTGCTGCTCTTGTATTTATCAGCCACGATGAAGACAAGCGGAAAGCAGGGCTCCTGGGGCATTTGACCTGACCACTAACCCGCCTCGGATGTCCTACGCCCACACCCAGATGGCTGACCAGACTCCAGGGGCAGACTGGATGTTTCCTCGGACAGTTTTTTAACCCCTTTGTCTTTCATTCAGCTCATTTCTCACAAGGGAGGCTCTACGGGTTACAACGTGAAATGTACAGCCAGCAGTATTGGAACGGCACAGGGGTATGTGAACCCCCAAACCACGCGGCTTGAAACACTGATTCTGGAAACCAAGGGCCTCCCTCTTGGAAGAACAATCAGGTTGTGCTGGGAAAAGACCAAAAGATGAGACATAAACAGCCTGGGCTTTTACAACAACCAGATAAATAAATGCCACATGGCTCAGATCTCTTTCCCTTTGAGCTGATAGGAGAATCACGAAACACATGGCTTTGGGGGACTTAACGAGGAATCTGGGGGTACGTGTTGCTACAACAACTTCTGGGGATTTAAAAAGAGAATTCCCACTACAGAAGAAAAGCTGACTGGAAAGTCCGAGCGCTGTGGATGAGGCCATTTAAGGGCAACTCGAATTCTCTCCTTTAAAAGGGTGTGAATACGAGGGGGGCTTCGAAAAGCTCACGGAAAAATTCCATCATCTTTCCATTCCATTTCTCCACGGACTTTTTGAAGCCCTGCTCAAGTCATCTAAACTGCTTATATTTTTAGAAACGATCTCAGCTTGTGCCTGTTTTGTTGGCTGGGAAGGAAGGTACTGAAGACGAGAAATCCGACACTCCCGGCTGGATGGTGGCTATGGCGCTACCCACAGAGGGAACCCTGACAGGTGAGGTGGAATTCCCCTGCAGCAGACACTCTTCTCTTGGCTGCTTGCTCATTTGCAAGCACGTTGGACCGGCCTTTAAAACCACCACCGGTCCAGGAGCCACGTGAGGGCAGGCGCTCACCTACGGTCGCTGAGAAGTGAGAGTAGGTGGAGTCATTGGTATACACAAAGGTGGTGTTATGGGGAGGAAGCACAGTGAAGTTGTGGGCTCGGGAGGCTGGACGAGACGACAAAAAAGAGAAGCACAATACGTGAGTGATAACACAAATGGAACCAACAGATCTCTCAACCCAACTCACCTGGGGCACGCCCAGTCCACCCTAGGGCCATCTTGGATTTTTTTTTTTCCCCTCCTGACCTCCCACCCTCCACTCATCGCAGCCCACTTCAGTGGCCCAAGCCGTGCTGTGAGGACTTTGTTCCTGCAGAATCTGGCCACCAACAAATGGTCTCAATGTGCTGGCTCCACCTCCCAAGCAAATGCTCGGTTGAGAGATATGACACAGAACTTAACGAAAGGCCGATGGTTGTGATGTCATGGAACAGATGGGACAGAGACACAGGTGAAAAGAACTGTATGACATCATGACAGACAGACAACACAGCAGAGACTCCAGCAACAGGAAACCCCGCCTCATGCCACGGACTGCTTCCAAAGCCACCACTGTCCCCAGCAGTTCAATGTGAGGATGGTTTCTGTTCGTTCTTTTTTTCTTAAGAAGCCTGTGATCGGATTAAAAATGGTGGCATGGTACAGGGCTGTAAAGAATGGGCCCAATAGGGAAATACCACAGAACCTTCACCAGTCAGGTGTTTCAGCATAAGCATGAACATGTTGTAAGGTTTTACTGGAAGCCAACAAAACTTGACCATATGCAGTTAATTTTGACCCTATAAGGAGCGTAGTGGTTACAAATCAGGCTGCTAACCTCAAGGTCAGCAGTTCAAAACTACCAGCTGTTCTGCGGGAGAAAGATGAGACTTTCTACTCCCATAAATATTTACAGCCTTGGAAACCCTGTACATGGTTGCTATGAGTCGAAACCGGCTCCACAGCCCATAACAATATTACCTATAGTGTCCTGGGGTGGTGCTGTGGGCTAATGCACCAGACAGCAAAGCATTTGAACTGCAAAGTCGGTGGTTCAAGCTCACCAGCTACTCCTTGGAAACCCTATACAGGGTCGCTATGGGTCGGAACCGACTCCATGGCAGTTCACAATAACAATATATCACCCTATGAAAAGAATATTTCATAGAAAGGCCTTATCAAAATATTGAAAGGTGCCACTCTACTCTGCAAATGACATACTCATAGGTATTCGAGCTCTTATGGGAAGGATGACCTGAATTAAAAAAAATAAAAATTGTTTCCTAAACTAAACAAGTTTTCCAATTACTTGTTGGCACCAGGTGAAATCTTTTTCGAAGATTTTTTTTCAGATGAAGGCCCTGAGAAAAGAAAAGGCGATTATAACGAGGGAGAGCCGTTTGTTTTGAGCTGACCATAGAACAGGCCTCCACAGGAACCGATTTGGTTCTTACAGTGCAGATGGGCTGGAGAAAACTCCAGCATTCAAACGAGCCGCCATCACTACTCTGCGTGCTGGCCCAGCCCAGCGCTGGGCTCTGAGGTTGCGCAAGCTCTATAGAACCGTTGTTGGCAAGTTAGGAACAAGGAATAAGGACAATCTGGTGGGCTGGTGTTGGAAGCCTAGTCATCAGTGATATAGGAGGGTATGTAGAAAACGATTGCTTTAAAATCATGGAAACTTTGATTCAACAAAAGTATCAAAATGTGAAGCTGTTGTTTTTCCGCACAGCCTCCATTTAGGACTAGACACTCCTGAAGGCATTGTCAGCATCTCTCTAGCTCTTCCCTGGAGAGTTCTGAGATCTTCGATGGACACTGCTTCAAATCGGCAGTTTGGGCAATCTTAAAGGATTCAAACTGTGTTCATTTTCTATGTCCTTGGAGTTTGGGGGAATGAAAAGAAGTCTGAAGGGGCAGGATTAGGGTTAAAGGGCAGATGGGGTAAGGTTTCCCCACAGACATCTCTCAGAACAGGCCTCGCTACCCTTGAAGTATGAACAGCTGCGTTGTCATGTGGGGAGAAACTTTCCTGGCCCTTTTCTCACTGATGCAGCTTTTAATCTTCTGAAAAGTTCTTCATAATAAGCCCCCATGATCGTCCTGTGTCCTCTGAAAGAATCTATCAAGATGACCCCCTTGGAGTCCAAAAAATAATGCACTTGCCATAATGACCTCTATGGCTTGAATTGAACCGGCCCAGTAGAGCCCCTCACAAGCCACTGTTTTGATTGGACCGTTCACTCCAGAGGCCCGGTAACAAGAGTAAGACAGGAACATTTCTGAGAAGACTTGTCTAAAGCCACCCTGTGATCACAGACACGTGTCTAAACACGTTTTGTGTGGGATACACCCATGCAAGTATGAGTACCATACAGGTAGCAATCAATACTTTGGTGTTTCCTAAGTCTATTACACGAGTCCGTTAGAGACAACTTGAGCATGCGCTACATACAGCCTGTCACATAACTGAAGGCAAAAGTAAATTATAAATGTGAAAGCAGAGGCTGGATGAACCCCTGAAAGGATGCCCTGAGATCATCTTTAAATCTTAAACAACAAAAATATCCCAGAAGTCTTCTGAAAACCCAATCATGTTGCTTTTGGCATTTGATGCCACGGAGTCAGTCCCGACTCACAGCGACTGTGAACAACAGAACAAAACACCGCTTGGTGTTGCACCCGCTTTACAATTGTTCTGTTTGAGCCGACTGTTTGCTGCCACTGTGTCAAGCCATCTCTTAGGGGGTCTTCCTCTTTTTTGCTGACAATGAGAGTTTAGATTAACTAGTAAAAAAAAAAGGGAAAAAAGGTCTTGAGCCTTCTGTTCTCTATGGGATAAACTGACAAGAGCAACCTGAGTGATTAGGCTTTGGGGAACGGTGAGTCTAGGCTAACGAGGGAGGAACAGCGGGAAGGGCGGCTGAGAAGGCTGCGCAGTGAGAAGACGCATCACTGTGTCAAAATCGGATGTGTGAAACTGATAAATCAGCGTGCGTTTCACTGTGTTTAATCTCAGCCACACACTAAACAGAATTTTAAAAACCACACAAAAACACCCCTACATCACTCAGGATGTACCCTTCAAACATCATTCCTGTGTGAAGGGAAAGGAGCCCTGGTAGCGCAGTGGGTGAAATGCTTGGCTGCTAATCACAAGGTCGGAGGTTTGAACCTACCAGCTGCCCCATGGGAAAAGATGTGGCCGTCTGTGTCCATCAAGAGCCTGTGGGACAGTTCTGTTGTGCCCTATTAGGGCGCTGTGCCTTGGGATGGATGGAACAGCAGCAGGATTGGTGTGGTTATCAGAATGGAAAAGTCTTTGGGAATATCTTGGTTTCTGCTCATCTCAAATGTCTAAGTGAAACCTCACAGAGACTTTGTTCTCTGTGCCCTTGGATACCATTGAAAACATCTTACAGACCAGTTGCCATGGAGACACCTCCAACGCATAGTGACCCATCTGTGTTGGACTGGAACAGCACAGGGTTTTCAGTGCTTGACGTTCTGGAAGGAGATCACCAGCCCCTTCCTCCAAGGAGCCTCTAGGTGGGCTCGAACACCCAACCTTGAGGTTAGCAACTGAGCACTTTCACAGTTTGCACCACCAGATGGGAAAGAATCTTAGGTAACTGTAATAGTTTGGAGGGGAGCTGGCACGGGTAAGCTGGAGAAGTTGATTGGCAAGCAGGGATGTCTTTGGCAAGTGTGGCAATAAGGTGACCACAGTGGGCACAGCCTCTGGTGCTGACGGGACACTGGTTTACAGACCGAAAGATACACCTGTGGGCTCGTCTGCAGATCACTGTGGCAGCAACGGCTGCTGTGTAAGGTTGTTGGGGAAAAGGAGATTACACTGATTCTCATCTATACAACGCCCACCACAAAGATACCAAACCTTTCAGTAAAATAGTTAGGGCAAGCCCTACAAGTGTGTGTGTGAGTCCCCTGTCCTGCTTCACACCTGCTCCTCCAGATGCCCACCCCCAGCTCCTAGAGAGCCACCTGTCCGCATCTCCCGACCGCATCTACCTCCAGCTGTGTCCTGAAGTTCATGGATTCCGTCCACATGTTCCAGTGGCCAGTAATGGGATGCCGAAGCCAAGATCTCAAACCCTGTGGGAGAACAAGGATAAATGTTAAAGTCACCCGTGGGAAGGAAAGACCTGAAGACAAGGAAGCAGATGCCACACACGTTATAAAGAGCAGGGCCTATCAGGTGTCACCATAATGTGGGAGTGGCTGTAAGGACGATGAGGAGTGGGCCTGTCGAGTCACACAACCAACTCGATGGTCCCTAACAACAGTAACAACAGTCAGCATTTACAGCACAGCCCCGTGCTCCTTAGAAGCCAGGAGGGTGAGACTTCGTCGGACGTCCTTTGGACATGTGATCAGGAGGGACCAGTCCCTGGAGAAGGACATCACACTCAGTAAAATAGAGGGTCAGAAGAAAAGAGCAAGACCCTCAGGAGATGAATCGGCACAGCGGCAGCAACAATGGGCTCAAGCATGGCAACAATTGTGAGGAAGGGGCAGGACCAGACAGCTTCCTTTGTTGTACATCAGGTTACTGTGAGTCAGAGCTGACTTGATAGCATCTCACAGTAATAAGCTATCACAAGACTATGGGAGGCATTAGATAAAATTAAGCACACACTCTAGATTAAAAAAAAAAAAAACTCTTAAAAATTAGAAGGCAATGGATATTTCCTTAAAAGGATAAAACATGACAAATAGGAATAGATATTTCTTAACTTGGGAAAACAAAAGCCACCATGCTTAATGGGCAAGCACTAGATGAAGACTCATTAGTGTCAAAGAAAAGACAAAAACCCCACTGGTACCCCACTGGTATTCAACATTATTGAAGAGGTGATGCAGAGGTGATCAGACAAGAGAGAGAAATAAGGTAAAAAAATCACTTTAAAAGGCAGATAATATGATCCTTATTTTCAAGTGAGGTAAGCTTGATAACCAAAGGGAAAAGCTATTACTAACAAGAAAAGAATGTAGTCAGGGAAAAACTATTACAAACAATACAAGAATTCTGGAAGAAGGAGAACACAGATCCAAAACACAGATGTTAGCAGCTTTATTATCTCCAAAATAATAGTGCTAAAAAGAGTAGATTTATAAAAGCAACCAATAAAGATAAAACATCTAAGAACAAAAGAATCACAATTGTAAAGGAGGAACAATAAGAGAATTGGGCTCCACCGTGGAGGGCTGGCTCCAATCCTACAAGCACATGGGGACTAACAAATGTGTGGCCGCGAGGGTGGTAGATGTGGACGGAAATGAGACACCCTAGAGGTTTTTAAGTTGAGAAGGAGAGTGGGGAAAACTAGGAACCAGCTGTGTGAAATTCAGGCGCTCAGGGGAGATGAGGAAGGAGAGAAGACAAGGGAGGTGGTAAGGGAGGAAGAGAGACAAAAGCAGAGAGTTAGAGACTGAGAGAGATAGAAACAGAGATGAATGAGACACAGAAAGAGATAGAGGACACAGACAGAGAGTGAGGGACAGAGAGAGATAGGAATGTTACTAAGAAATATAATATTTGATTAGCAAATTGAGGGACTGGGGCATGAGGAGACACATACCTCATTGCCTTCTTGTTCTTTATGAATTATTTACATTTATCCCTTCAGAAAAGGAGTCCGGCTGTGGCCGTGTAGGATGAGCATTAACGACAAAGTTGGCAGTTCAAACACACCAACTGCTCCTCCGAAACCGTATTCACTGTAAAAACTGTTCACTGTGAATCAGAACCAACTCAATGGTACTTCAGAACAACAACATTCTTCAAAGGAGCACTGCTGGTGCTGAAGGGTAAGCACGAGACTGTTAACGAAAAAGTTGGCAGATCAAGCCCACCAGCTGCTCTCAGGGAGAGGTTCAGGATCAGAAGTCCAAAAGCAAACCCACTGTTGCAAGTCATTTCCAACTTCTAGCAACCCTCTAGGACAGATCAGAACTGCTCCAAAGGGTTTCCAAGGTTACCATCTTTACGGAAGCAGAGTGCCTCATATTCCTCCCATAGAATGGCTGGTGAGTTCGAACCACCAACCTTTCGGTTAGCAGTCCAAGCATTGAACCAAAGTGCCATCAAGACTGATCTATTACTGCCAGTCTTTGTCCTCTGGTGCTACTGTAACCAAAACACCCCAAGAGGATGGGTAGCTCCAACAAACAAATGGATACTCTTGCAGCTTGTTGTTGTTAGGTGCCATCGAGTTGGTACCTACTCATAGCAACCTTACGCACAGCAGAAGGAAAGACTGTACAATCCTGGGCAAATCTCACAATTGTTGCCACGCTTGAGCCCATTGATGCTACCTACCCCTTGGCCATCCATCTCTCTGGGGGGTCTTCCTCTTTTTCTCTCACCTTACCAAACATGATATCCCTCTCCAGTGACTGTTCCCTCCTGACAATATGTCAAAAGTATGAGACACGAAGTTTTACCATCCTGGCCTCTAAGAAGCAGTCTGGCTGCACTTCTTCCAACACAGATCTGTTGGTTCTTTTGGCAGTCCATGGCACTTTCAATATTCTCCTCCAACATCATAACTCAAAAGCATCAGTTCTTCTATGGTCTTCCTTATTCACTGTCCAGCTTTCACATGCATATGAGGTTATTGAAAATACCATGGCTTGGGTCAGGGGCACCTTAGTCCTCAAGCTGACATCTTTGCTCTTCAACACTTTTCAAAAGGTCTTGTGCGGCAGATTTGCTTAATGCAATTATGTCGTTTGATTTCTTGACTGCTGCTTCCATGAGTGTTGATAGTTGATCCAAGAAGAATGAAGTCCTTGATGACTTCAATCTTTTCTCTGTTGATAAGAATGCTGTTTATTGGTCCAGTGGTGAGGATTTTTGTTTTCTTTACATTGAGATGTAATCCATACTGAAGGCTGTGCTCTTTGATCCTCATCAGTAAATATTTTAAGTCGTCTTCACTTTCAACGAGCAAGGTTGTATCATCTGCACACCAAAGGTTGTTAACAAGTCTTCCTCCAATCTGATGCCACGTTTCTCTTCATATAACCCAGTTTCTCGAATTGTTTGCTCAGCATACAGGTTGAATAAGTATGGTGAAAGAATACAACCTAGTTGCACACCTTTCTTAATTTTAAAACATTCAGTGTTCCCATGTTCTGTTTGAACAACTTGCCTCTTGGTCCATGTACAGATTCCTCATGAGCACAATTAAGTGTTCCGGAATACTCAT